AACAGTAATATGATACCTCGTAATAAGGAAGATAGGTACTTAATGAATTTGGTGACCATCTGTTTGAATAATTTTAATCAAAATGTCTATTTGTAGACCCTGCACTATCTTTACCATGTACGGTATTGCAGCAATATTTAAACCAGAATTGTCGAAAAGTACAAAAATGTACTCTAGAGCGTAGTATCTTCGAACACTCCAAAAGTTTGTCATACATTTTTTTAATCTTACAAAAGGTTTTGATGCTCATCATCAGGGATGCGAGTTTTATAAAAACTATACACAAATATCATAAATACCATTGTTAACTTACATTTACTGTTATTTTTTGTAAATTTATTTCATTCATTTTCAGCTTTATTTTGCCACTTTTTTCTATGAAATATATTAAACTCTGCTTTAGACAGTTATTAGGTACCTATTTATTACATTTTATTAGGTTTCACACGGTGTTTCAATGTGTAAACCTATCAATAAAACTTTTAATTTCAGAATTTTCTTTAACCTCCTCTTCTTCTTCTTTCACTCAACTGACAGTGACAGTATTTGTACATAACCTCTTCGGGTATTTTCTGACATAACCGAATGAAATCATTAACAAGACAACTTGATAACAGGGTAATTTTCAACCAATAGAAATCTTAGAATGTTGGTCACATGGCGAGGTTTGTGACGTCATAAAAATTTATATTTTTTGTAAATATCTCGAAAACGGTAAACTCAATTGAAATTCTGATTTCACAAAAATGTTTAATATTACAAAACGCCTTGAATAAAACCATAAGAAGTATAGGTCAGAAAAAATTTAACTACACCATTCTTAAATAGTTTATAATTTTACCTATATACTTGTTATAAAACCTATAGGCTATAATATATTATATTATACTATATTATATAATTTAAAACAGACTTCCAAACAAAATGTTTTGATTTTGGCAAAAAGTCATCTATATAATAAATGGAAATACTCGAAAACATAACTCCACATAATTCCACGTGTATTTTTACGAGTACATTGAATTTGGTTTGTAAGTACGAGTAATAAATATTCCAAATGAAAAATACTTATGAGTAAAAAAGTACTCGTACTTTTTTACTCGTAATTGAAATACGAGTAAAAGTACTCAGTACTTGGCCAGCAAATTGAGGCTATCCTTAATAGTAGACCGTTATGCTCATTTTCCGTAGATCCTAATGATGTTCGAGCCCTTACACCAGGTCATTTTCTGACTCTGGAACCTTTATCATGTCTTCCCAATCCCGATTTACAATCCGTTCCGCTAAACCGCTTATCCTGTTGGCAGTTGTTGCAGCGTATGCACCAGGACTTCTGGGCACGTTGGCATGCAGAATATCTCCACACCTTATCCCAGCGAATAAAATGGACATCCTAGTCTTGTCCCATTAAGGTGGGGGTCTGTAGTTTTCCTAAAGAACGAGCTTTCGCAACCCCTTCAATGGCACCTTGGCCGTATTGAAACGCTTCAGCCCGGTAAAGACAAACCTAGGCACCTCTAAGCGACCTGTTGTTAAAGTGTGTCCTTTACCGCAAGCCGATCTTCAATGATTTGCATAACGCCGCCTTTTTTAAGTTTAATTTTGTTTATTTATATCGAGAGGTATTTTATTTTATTTTAATTTTTTGGGCTTAGATTTTACCTTACCGTATATTTGCAAATTTAATTTATATTTAATTTTTTTCTCGCTTAAGACCCAGGGTTTTAATGGCCGCCGGAATGTTTCGTCCTCGCAAAATATTTAATATTTGTTTAATTTTTGTTATATTTATTTAAATATTATATTCAGCTTATTGCCCCCCATTGCGCATGTTTACCGCAACTATTTTTAATTATCTATTTGACCGCGTGATTGAGGGCCTAAGTGTTTTAACAACGAAATAAACACGCTTGCGTTAACGTTAAAAACAATGATCAGTGTCTTTGGGAAAAAAGAACCCAGACCGTTTATCATATTAAACCTTCATTATTCATCAGTTCTCAAATTGCGGGGAATTCAATTTCCTATGACTATGAAACAGATCCCTAATTTCGAGAAACAGAACCAGATCTCTATAAATGTTTATATATTGTTTGTGTATTCTACAAGGTTAGTTCTAAATATTTAATCTATCTAAATTTAGATTAATGTGTAGTAAAATTAACCAAACGTAATATTATGCATATTTAAATTATTAATATTATTATTATATGATTATTGCTATAATAATAATAATAATAATAATAATAATAAATTTATTGGTCAACATTACAATATTACAATATGTTTGTGACAGGTCAAAAAAAAAATTACAATACCATTAGAGAATAGTAAGTAAATACATAGTAAATAAAAATACATATGTTTTGTTCATAAATAAAAATTGTATAAATAACACAAACAAACAACAACAGTGTTTAAAAGAAAATACAACGTTATGTATGGGTTAAAAAACATGTTCAAGATATTCCTTAATTGAATAAAAACATTGTTCTATTAAAATATTTTTTAGTGTCGATTTAAATCGTTTGGAAGTTAGTTCCTTAATGTTTTGAGGTAGGTGATTGTATAAATTGACATTTAAGGTATTTTTTAAAAGTTTTTGTAAGCCTAAACTGTGAGGTTCTTAAGAAATTTGTGTTTCTAATATTGTAGTTGTGAATATTATGACTTAAAATGTGACTAGATTTGGTGTTGTGGATTTCCATTAAAGAATATAGTTAAAACAGGCACGGTAGCGGCAAAATTTGAAGATGTTTAAAAATGGGTCGACAATGTTCATTAGTTTTGGCCTTCACTAAAACTCTAACCACTCGTTTTTGAAATTTAAAGATTTTGACATTCACTGAATTGCCCCATAAAATTATACCATAACTAAGATGGGAGTTGAATAACGAAAAGTAACAGGTCCTAAGGATGTCAGGTGAAAGTATATAGGACAGTTGCCTAATTACGAAAATAGAACTGGAAAGTTTTTTGCCAAGTTGTTCAATATGCGCTTTCCAGTCTAATTTATCGTATATTGTGATACCTAGGAGTTTTACGTGATTTCCTTTGGTAACGTTAGAATTATTTGAAAAAATTAAACTCTGGGTCTTGTCGTTGTTCATTGCCAATTTATTAGGCCTAAACCAGTCAAAAGCAGTATTCTCAGATTCTTTAGCAGACAGTTTAAGTGAAATTAGATCCTTATTAGAGTCGATCATTGTGACATCATCAGCAAAAGCCACACTTTATTTGGGTAATAGGTTAAAGAAAAGATCATTGATATATACCATAAAAAGAACCGGGCCCATTATGGAAATACAGTGTGACCCATTTGTTTGCGACTCACCCCTGTAAAATCTTTATTTATTGTGCGATTTAAACCAAATTTTTTTTAAAGTGTAGATTTTGATAAACTGTATTTTTGGAGCAAAAGACGCCAATTCGTACAAAATACAAGGCCTACTATGTCAGTTTTTAAGAGTAAATTTTTAAGAATCCATATTATCGATTTTTTTAAACAAAATCTAAGCACGGTACTGGATTCACCACCCCTCAAAACAACCCTATACTAAATTTTATTGAAAAATTTTAAGAAAAAAAATGCTCCATAATAACTACAAAAATTTATTTTGTCAAGTTTTCCATGAAAAAACATTGAAATAAAATTAAACTAATAGTAACATGGTACTTTAACATGGTCAATTTTATTTCAATGTTTTTTTCATGGATAACTTGACGAAATAAATTTTTGTAGTTATTGTAACTGTACATTTTTTTTCCTAAAATTTTTCAATAAAATTTAGTTTAGGGTCGTTTTGAGGGGTGGTAAATCCAGTGCCGTGCTTAGATTTTGTTTAAAAAAATCGCTAATATGAATTCTTAAAAATTTACTCTTAAAAACTGACATAGTAGGCCTTGTATTTTGTACGAATATGGCGTCTTTTGCTCCAAAAATAAAGTTTATCAAGATCTACACTTTAAAACAAATCCGGTTAAAATTGCTCAATAAGTAAAGATTTTACAGGGGTGAGTCGCAAACAAATGGGTCACACTGTATATATTTGTCCTTCACTCTTACGTTTAGCTGGATTTTACGTTATTTTTAACGCTTTTCTTGTAGCTATTACAACTATTTTGTTATCACAATAATTTTAATAGTTTGTTATGCTTAATGCTTGTACTGCTCAAATGTATCATTGTAACCTTTTGTGCTTAACCCAACATTTTGTACCTTTTCTATAACGCGATTAAGCATTGTTTTATGATCAGTCTAAATTTATTGATGTATTGCGAAATGACTCGGTGCTTAAACAGTAGTTCAGACCGTTACCGTAAAACTTTGAGTACTTTTTGTTTGTGTGGACCTTTGTTGTATAAACTAATATTTTCTCCCGTGAGGGGAATAGGTTGTCCTAGGTTCTCTAGGGCTGCATCGCTTTTCACCGACCCTTCAACTAAATTAGGCGAGTTGCCTCCAGTACGGACCTCGTTACCTACTGGGCCTAGCCCGGTCAACTAACACCAATATTCTTCAGTTTTAAATCTTTGTTGAATTCAGTGTCGAGCCATATCACCAATACATTAATTTGCGTAAATTTTAAAGTACAATGCCTAACCGCGTATGCCTTTGCTACTTCATAGCTGACCAGGGGTTTTTCACAGGCCCTTTTTCCCTGACCGAACCCTCCTAAGAGGGGTAAACTAAACCACTTATAAACCTAGTTATTCCACATATTATTCTTAAAGGAACGTATTTAATAAAACAAGTAAGTAAACACAACGTAGAGGTCCAAATTTGGGTAAGACGATCACGATCCAAAGTCACAAAATAGTTAATTTATCAATTTTTCATAAAACTTGTTTTAAACGAACCTGGTGTAAGGAGAAATCTTTACAGTACGGTTCACAATAAGTTGGAGAATAAGCCCTGCCCCCGCAGACACTATCTAAAAGCTCAATATGTATGGTCTGCGTTTACCTATCAAACATTGGGAGAGTACGTAGAACTTTATATGAAAACCGATATTCTTCTGTTAGCCGATGTATTTGAGAAGTTTAGGGAAAGCTGTCAAAATACGTATGGGTTAGATCCTGCACACTATTTCACAACACCCGGGTATACATGGGATGCAATGCTAAAGTATACTAAGCAAGAGTTAGAGCTGCTCACCGATCTAGACATGTTCCTCTTTGTTGAGCAGGGCATTCTAGGTGGTTTAAGTCAAGTATGTTCAAAGAAAAGGGCTAGAGCAAATAATAAATATGTCAACAACTATGACCCAAGCAAGCCTCAAACTTTCCTAATGTATTTCGACGTAAATAATCAGGTAAATTTATTCTCTTTTTTCTTGCTTAACTTGAAATTTAATTTTTTTCAACATAATTTATTATTGTCTACATTTTATTTTGTTTTGGGTGGGCAATGTCTCAATACATACCATACGGAGGCTTAGAATGGACATATTTAAATCTCGATGTTATCCAAATCCCTAAGGATGCTTTCGAAGATTATATTCTAGATGTAGACCTCAAGTATCCTAAACTACTCCATGATCTACACAAGGACATTCTGTTCTGCCCTGAGCACCTTAACCCTAAGACTAGTCAGTCTCCAAAATTTAAGAATAAAATAAGAAAACTTATGGCAACTCACCACCACCACCACCACCACCACCACCATAAAAGTATATCATTCATTAGGAGACCTTAAAACAAGCGTTAGCTAATGGATTAGTACTCAAGAAAATTTATCGTGCACTCAAGTTTAAGCAGTATCCGTGGTTGAAGGTCTACATAGACCTTAACGCTGCGTAAGAAAGCTGCGAATGAGTTTAAGAAGAACCTCTTTAAGCTGATGAGTAATGCCGTTTTTGGTAAGTAAAATTGGTTTATATTTCCGATTTACTTATATATAATAATCTTTTAACTGTTGCAGGTAAAACTATGGAGAATAGACTCTTAACCGAGTGGAATGTTCGATATGGTGCTGAGGCTTATATAGCGAAGCCGAAATTTAAAAATTGTACAATTTTCAGTGAAAACTTCGTAGCGGTTAAGCTTTGCAAACTTCACATCCGGTTGAACAAACCTATATATGCGGGGCAAGCTATCCTCGATTTGGCGATGTCGTTGATAAAAAATATCTTCAAAATAATTTAAACGATTTCTATAAAGGCGTATACGATTCAAAACAATCCATAATAGATAGTTCAGACATTGAATTTTTATATATTAAAAAAAGGCATTGAAAACTACTAATTCTAACAATAAAAACATTAAAACAACAGACACCAATTTTAAATCAATAAAACAACAGGTATCAAAATTTGAGAGAGCAATGTAATTAAAATACAAAAGGATTATAAAGAACTAGTAAATATAACTGATGATAATATTAAAAAAAAAACTTAAAACAGTTGAAATCACAGCAAGGCAAAATATTAAACGAAACCATTGAAAAGACATTTTAAATAATATTGGATGCTTTACAGTGCATAGAAAATATCTAAAAAATACTTGATCGACAAGAAAAAGGTATAAAGAAAAACGAAAAATTATTAGATCAAAAAGTAATAGATGCAACAATTTAATTTAATGCAAAATTGGACTAATTTAAAAAGGAAAAAAATGAGTTTAAGAAAGCTATTAAATATTTCGAAACAAGGAGCGATTCTAATAACGCTTCTTATATTATTAATTTCGATGATATAAAAAATCGTATAGAAATGTTGGAAAAATTCCTTAACCTTAAAATGTAAAACAATATGAAATAAAATTTATTGATGCATATGTGTTTATATCCCTCCTTTACACTGTAAGCGTTCACACCCCCCCCAGCAAAGAATCCGTAAAAAGTTACACCCCAAGTGATAAATGAAATATAACACCACGGCAAATGTTATATTAAATTACGACAAATAAATAAAATAAATACTTACGGTATTAAAGCTCATTAATTTAGTAACCCAAGGTACTTGTAAGGTGTTGTATTCATGGGGAAAGTATTTAAAAAGGGAAATAAATATACAGTAAATAAAAGGCAATAAGTTACGTTTGAACTCAGGTCAAAAACCCGGAAGGCTCCCGTTTATTTTTTTATTAAGTATCGCTCATAAAACCTTCCAAAATGAGGGATTATGGGAGTGAGTTACACGTAGAAAATATTTAAAATTTATAACAAACAATAATGGTATTTACTTGGACAGAGCAACAAAAATAACCGCAACCCAAACGACATTTAACTTAGTTAACTCTGAAAGAAAAGGACCTCCTACAACCGTTTAAAACCACACAATATCTCCTTACTGCGACTACAACCCAAATATAAATAAATATATAAATACCATTAGATAAATAATACATCATACTAGAGCTTAGCTCTCGTTTTTCATTTTTAATTTTTATCTTCGCTTTTTGCTGATTTGTTTGTTTATTTGTTTGGTGAAAGTAGATTGAGTCTTAGTCTCTATTTTTGTATTTTAAATTTAACTTTATTCATCAAGCATTCCGTCTGCAATAGGCCTCCATCATCCAAATAAAGTTTTTATATTATTATTTACTGTTGAATTTAAGTTTACCATTACATAATTTTTTATGTAATATTTATTAGAGTTCAGGCTCAATAAACTGTTGGAAAAGGAGTAAATAATTATCAGGCTCGACTCGGGCTTCAGCTGAGGGTTCGGAATTGTCTATTTTGCCTCATTAGTAAGCAAACTTTAATAAATTAATAATTACCATAAAATACTAGGTAATCAAAATGATACAAATAACAATGACAAAGTCTACGTCACCAGTCAGATGAAATCAAACCGCTCGGCACCTAATAAAATTTACAGGATAGTAATTAAAAATGGGCTTGTTGTGTCATGGACTCCACGGGCAGTGGATAAATTAAATATCGCTATCGTACCATTACTGTTGCTACTCACTCCAAATGTAATACCAAATAATTTAAATGACTGGTAAAATTACTAGTAACAGAACGTAAATGTGAATCCGCGAGTACAATTTTATAATCCCGTATTCAAGAAAATCGATATTAAATACACTTAATTTACACAGCGTTTACGTTAAATCCCCTTTTTGAAATATTTATTAAAATTAATTAAATAATCTTAAGTACTGCCCTGACATTTAGCCTAATTAAATCGAATACGGTCCTGCCTATTTTAATTGGGTAAAATCCCCGTAAATTCAGGCTCTTTTAATTTAATAATTACTCGTTAAAAAATCCCTGCCTTTTATTAGATAAAATACACGAACCAATTGTTTATAACTTAGAATATAAATTATAATACGAAATACCAAATTTAAACTTAATTTAATTCATGTCAATTTCTACGGGCGTGGTTTCTAAACGACAGCCATTACAGCGTAATAGATCGAACGATGACGCCAAGTCAATTGATCGAATATTTATCTTTACACAAGGTGTTTGTGTAAACTAATTATACCAAAATGCTCGGGAATATTTATACTACAATAATTTAGTTATTTAAAATGTACAAACCTACATTTTTAACCACTTTCCTGCACACACAAATTAGCACCTCTCGTCTCTGCACGGCTCATCTCCAATGAATGTTCTCCCCTATCTTCCCTGCCCATCTGACTTGCATTCTTTCCCCCTACCTTTTCCCACCTAAACACGCGACTCTTTCTAGCCAATGGCACGGTACTTCTTATATCAATGACATTTCCGTTGCGCTAAATTTAAATGTTAGTTTCATTTACATGGCTTTTTGAATGCATTTATTTTAAACAATTAGGATCGTAATAACCCACGGATTGTTTATTAGGGGGGGTATTTGCAGATCTCCTCAACACTTAAAAAAAAATAAATGGTAGGAAGGTAAATAATATATTAGTTGCTTCTTCTATATTACATTCATTTTAACGTTTGGACAGAGTTCTTTCTACGACAAAAACAACAATATGAGCAACATTCTATCGAAACTAAACGATTGTCAACATATACCATTCATAAAATTAAGGAGTTGGAGGAAAATAAAAACTATGAAGAAAAAATGGATAGAAAATTAAGTTAATAGTAATTGCTTTAATGTTTTAATTATATATTTTGGTGTAGAGTTTATAAATGTATCTTATGTTTTAGGAATATATATTCGCTAGTATAATATTTTATATAACCTTATGTTTTAGGAATATTAATTCTTCAAACTATTTGTCTGTATTATATTTAAACTTTAGGCACTTGATTTAGTACAACAACAATATACTAACAATTTTCAAAGATATGGAAATTCTATTTTGAGGGAGATATTTAGAAAATTAAAGATGAAACAAAGAATAAATAAATAAATATCATGTATTGCCTTTTTTTCAGTTTTAAAAATAAACATTTTAAAATCATTTATTATTTTTAATTTATATTCACAAACCTTGCAGTTTCATTTCCTTATAACAAACAAGTAAGTATATATAAAGAGCCTTTTAAATTTTGTTGTATTAAAACTCATAGGGCCGGTTTTTCAATCGTTGGTTAACTTTATCTTACGGTTAATTTCCTTAGATACTATTGTTAACACAATAGTATCTAAGAAAGTTAACCGTAAGTTAAACTTAACCAACGATTGAAAAACCATAATCATGTACTTGTGTTAACCAATATTTAAAAAAAATTAATGCTGTAAAGAAGTTTATACAAATTTTAAGAGAAGAAAATCGTCTTTATCAAAATCCACAATGGTCAACAGACTTGGAAGAGTTTAATTATTAATTAAATGAAACGAGGACCACTTTTTGGATAATTGGTGGCATGATGCAAATTGTATCGTTTAAATTATTTTTTTAGATGTATTATTATTATATACCGTACCTTCATTTGCAAGCTAACCATAGGGAAAATACATTGTAACTGGACCAGATAAGTCGCAGTCAACACAAAGCGAGAACCTTTTCAGAAATGATTTGGATGCGTCGTCGAGACATGCGTACTAAAACAAATTTTACCAGATTTACACCGCACAAAATAAAAAACAATAATAACCCAGCTAGCACAGAAACATCCCAACAATGTACAGCGATGTAAAATTGGGTACATTAAACCTCCCGTGCAATGTACTGTTGATATCACATGTCTATTGAGGCAACCTCCGAATTTCCGCAACATGTTTACACTGGACAATGTTTTCGAGATGTTACTTTGTTACGTACTGAAAACGTTAGTTTGAAACATCAATTAAACTTACTTTAAAACGTGCATGCTATGTTTAGATGTAATGTTCCATGAATGTAACTTATTGATATAAAAAGGCTATAGCAAAAGATACAGGCATCCGGCAAATCATTTGATGTTTTATACTTCTTTTTTTAGTATTTGTTTTATAAAATGTAGAAAAACACAAATTTTTAGATAAGTTTTGTTACATTATAAACAAATTTGTTTATAATATAACAAAACATATCTAAAAATTTAAGTTTTTCTACATTTTATAAAACAAATACTAAAAAAAGAAGTATAAAAACATCAAATGATTTGCCGGATGCCTGTATTAATGCATAAAAAAGAAAAAAAAACAGTAATTTGCTTAATAGGTAAAGTTCTAAGGTAAGTTCTAAGAGAAATTAAAAAAAACTACTTATATATAATTAATATATTCAGGTAAAAAAAATTGTATACACACTGTACAAATAAATTCACGTTTTCCAATCATGTTGAGAACATTGCTTCTGGATATAGATCATAGGAAAAGCTTGGGATTTATAATTCGCAATACTGGGGGTTTTAGAGATATTAGAACATTTCAGTCTCTTTATTACGCATTTGTTGTATCTAAGCTGAAATACTGCTGTATTAATAAATTAATTGTTTGGAGTCTGCAATACAAAATTTATAAGGATAGGCTCGAAATTTGTTTTGTCTAGACTTGACGGTATCTATCCCGCTAGAGGAACAAACCACTTGCAGCTTTTTAATAGATTTTCTTTATATCCTTTGGAGCTAAAAAGAATAATAATGCATTTAAAGTTTTTGTATGGACTGTTGCATAACCAGATTGATTCTATATAGCACTGCTTGAATTGGTGAATTTCCGTGTTCCATTTTTTCAAAGCCGTAGTCAATTAACTTTTACATATAAAACACCTAGAATAAATGCCATGTATAGTTCACCTGTTTAGAGAATGTGCAGATACTTTAATATTTACTGTAGCTCATGTGATATTTTTTGCCAGACTTTTAATAGTATAGTTATAACTATAGTGCTGCATCTAGCAATTATAATTTACTTTAATTTTAATATTATCCATAATATATTATACTTAACAAATTTCTTTTCTATATGTACATATATATTTTGTCCTGTAATTGGAACATGTTCTGTTAGGCAATAAATAAATAAATAATAATAAAAAC